CAGAGCTGGGATGGCGAGGGGGGGGGATGGCAGCGTGGCTCAGGCTATCGCATGCCATACCCTATGTCCAAGCCCAACGCATCAACATGTGTGCATCGGTCACGCAGAACGCTGCTCCCCAAGATAGCAACGGCTGGTGGAGTGTCGAGATCTGCCCTTACCCACTACTCTGCAAGGAAGGGGTAAAATGGGAGTGAAATCCATGAATTCTGGATCATCTCGCTTCCTGAGCCTCGCTGCGCATTTAGGGACCCATTCCCTAGCCCTGGTTGATGTGCTAAAAAAAAGAAAAAATGCAAGGGATGAATATTTATCTGTGGGTGGCAAGTGACAGATGCTGGGGCGAGGATTGTAGGATACTTCAGTTTGATGAAGGTAATAACTTGAATAGATTAATGAGAAACATCCTTCCCAACGGTTGCCTCCTGCGTGCCATAGCTACGCACCACCCTCCCAGCAGAGCTCCTGCACACACCAGCTTCTTGTATCCGAACACAAAGTTCATTAAGGTTTGGTGTCCAAAAGGCTGGAGATGCTCAGCTTCGGTGTTTTCCACCCCGAATGGAGACAGGCAACTGGGAAAGGGCCACGGCCTATGGGTACTTACAACCGAGTTGGTGAAAGTGCAGTTTTAGCCAGGTTCACTCACTCCATGGTGGCTGCCCAGCTGGGATGGGGGGAAAGCTGGTGTGGAGGAGCCCGGTCGCAGTGTGCACGGCCCATCCCTGCTCCCGGCAGCAGGATGGGCTTGACCACAGGTACCATCACCCTGCGTTTCCCCAGCACGGCCGCCCCCCTTTTCCTAGGATGGTCTGTAGAGTCCCTGGGGGGGAGCATTGTGCTACAGACCCTCCTGATCCCCTCACCTCCTAAAACCATGCAATATCGCTTTTTGGTCCCCAAACACCAAGAAGCCGGGCTGGCCTGACAAGATGGAAGAAAAAACTCTTTGCTTCTGGTAGGTTCTCCGAAACGATGAAACTGCTGGTAAACCACCCCAATTTGGAGATGGTCCCCAGGCTGCCCAGGGAGCCGCTGCGCTGCAGTTGATGGGGAAGGTGCTGGGGTGGGGGCATGTGCGTGCCTGGGGACGGGGCCAGCCTTGCAACACCCAGCCCTCGGAGACCTGTAGTTTGTTGAGACTCCTGTCCGCCTTCCCGCAAACAGCCCCGGCGAGGGCTGGGTGCCAGGAGGGGAGCAAGGAGACGGCACTCGCCTTAGGAACACGCAGAAACACCCACATACACACACACACACGTCCCCTCCTGACCGCTTCGAACGTGGGAGACCGCAATTATTCTCTGAGCAAGGTTTATTCTCAGCTGAAGGACTGCTGGGATTTATCGATGGCTTGCAAACGCACACCCGGCAGATTCCAGCTCAGACCCCAGCATTATTCCAGGCAGATGAAACAAAAGGTTGCGGCTACATTCTCCTTTAGGAGAAAGCCACCAGCACAAAATTCTAATATATAAAAAAAAAAAAAATCAAGAGTTCATTACACCTCTCCCTTCAAAAGCATCAAAGAGCAGCTGCAGGTAACGTTTAATCCTGCCTCCCTGTATCATCACAAAGCAGCAAACCCGGTTTTCTAGAGAAAGGTCTTGCAGCACCTTTCAGGAAGGCTGGGATGGAGCTCATCAACGCTGCAATTTCCTTCCCTTCACACGATAACATCTTAAAAAAAAAAAAGCAAACAAAACACAAAACCCCAAAACGAGCCTGCTGTAGATGGGCACCTTCAGCAGCAAAACAACGGGGCAGCGCTGCCGAATGCCCCTGGCTGCCGGCAGGTAGGCCTGCCTTGGATTATGGTGGCAATTTAGATGGAAGTAGCTACAAAACATGAGAGAGGATGATACAGCCACTTACAGCAGAGCCCCAGCTGTTTCTCCTAGTTCGGCCTGAAAGCTTGTTAGTCCAGCAATATTTTTTGATCGCTCCAATTGGGTTTTCTTGTTTTTTATTTAATCCTAGTTTCCCCTCAACATCTCGTTAAGCCCTGTTGACGGCAGAAAATAGCTTTGGTGATCCCTCTGAGCCCCTACACTAAGCATTAAGCCGTAAACTAGGAATGTAAGACTCTTGTCTGAATTAAAGTCTTTTGCCTGGTATTATTAAGTGGGGGGCTGTGTTCAGAGAGGTTGCAGGGCATGCAAAGACCCCAGCCCCTGGCTGGAAGCATTTGCAGCCCCAGAGCTGCACCCACCTGCCCTGGCCCCCCCTCGCACCCTCCCCTGTGCCCTGGGTTGCTTCGATGCAAATCCTACAGGTTCCAGTGGTGCAGTCAGAACTGCAAATCCCATGTGCAACTTGGGTCATATCCTGACGGCTCGGCCCACCCCGTCCTCCCACCACCCCTGGGCGAGCGCTGGGCATCCCCCCACCAGCACAGCTGGCTCCCCTCCCCAGAAAACCTGGTCTGGGAGAAGGAGGGGGGAGGACCCGTCGACCAGAGACCCGCTGAACATATGGGGCTACCTGTGGCAAAGAGCTGGGCTGATGCCATGCTGGTTCCTTATCTCCTGCGGGGTATGAGCATCCCTCGCTCCAAGCCAGTGGGTTGCAAACTCACAGATTCCAGCCTAAAACCAGGATCCCCATTCAGACGCTTGTACCCCCACACCTCCGCCCACCCTGGCCAGGAAGGTATCAATGCAGCACCTACCTCCATCCGAGTAGGTCTCTGTCCCGTAGCCATCCTGTAATCCATTGCTCCAGGTGCCTTCGTACTTGGCCCCATTTCCAGTGCATTCTCGGACTCCGTACCGTCCCTTAAATCCGTGGGTCCACTCTCCTTTGTACACCCACTTCCCCTTGCTCTCCATGCCAATGCCATGGCGCTTGCCCTGCGCCCAGGTGCCCTGATAAGTGTTGCCGCTGGGCCAAGTGTAGACCCCCAGCACCTCAAAGCCGTGACTCCAGGAGCCTGAATATTCACCTTGACCCTTCGGGCCGGTACAGATTCCGTGGCCATGAGCCTTTCCGTCCTCCCAGCCTCCACAGTACGACCCTCCATCGTCAAAATTAAACCTTCCCCCACTGGACATGCATGTAATTCGGTTTGCAAATCCCCCAAAAGGTGAAAAAAAAAAAAAAAAATTGCAGAAAATAAACTGCGAACGATGACTTGGGGGAAATAAAAAATAAATTAAAAAATGAAATCGAACTCAATCATGCACCAGATCCAGCGAGCTGCTTTAAGCCAGTTTCTTGTGATTATTCATTCTCGGGGAGTATGTTCAGT